TGTCGGATCGAGAGACAACATAAGGAAGTGACTCGCACTACAATTCAAACGTAACAAAGATTTAATAAAAAAAATAATGTGTATTAGGTACGATACAGAATTCTAAGGTTATGTCGCAGAGAGAGAGAGTTTACAGAACGAGCGCGAGTTGTATAAATACCTGGGGATAATGTGGCTGTTCTCGTAGGCAAAAATTTGGTTGATTGTTGGCTGATAATTGTCCGATGAGCGTTGAGACTGGTTCCGATGAGGATTAGGTTCACGATAATATCCACAGCACAAAAAGATGGGCACTGATCGATAATATTCCGATATCCGATGGGCACTGATGGATGATATTGGGAGTAAACGGTGTGGGTTTTCTGTGTTGGAAGGACGGACGACGACTGACTAATTTCGGCCGTCTCTGGCGATATTTACGGACGATTTCAGCCGTGCAGAGGTTAATAGTTCACGAGAAAGCGTCATGTTGCTTTCGAGAAAATGAAACGGGAGACTTTCTCAGGTAGCTAAGAACAACAATTGTTGCATAACTTGCGAAATGTTAATATTAAAGACTAGGTCTGATATAGGAATTTCTGCTATCTGACAGTTAAGTTTGGGTGTATTCTATTTGTATAATTTGGGTAAATTTATTGTTGCAGAAATAAGCTTATTGCACAAATCAAGTGATGAAGACAATTTTTATTTAAAAGAGATTGTCTGTGTGATCAGTAGAGTGGTATACAGAACTTTACAGGTGATCAACCCTGTTCTTAGGCACACAGAAGCAAATAGCAAAAACTATAATTCTATATACAATAGTAAATAAATAGAGAATAGTAGGGGGAAAAATTGTATATTGTTAGTAGTATATTAAGTGAAATGAAAAATATTGATAAAATTGATATCTCTGGACAAATGAACGGAACTTGATCAAATTTGATATGTATGTGGAAAAAATAGCAGATTACGACGAAATTCATACTTTGTCATGATGACACATATTTTTTAGTTTTTTTTTTATAAAATGTGAATTGAGTTAGAAGGAATTCCAGTATAGGTTTGCTTTTTTAAGCCGTTCGTTCGTTCTTTCGCTTACTTGGCTGCTTGCCTCTAGGAAGCCTATATATTAACGAGTTTTTGATTGGACCATCTTCGGTGAACTGTGTTGGTCCTCTCTATGATGTATCATTATCTTGTATACTACGGAAAATTTAATACAGTATTGCAATTGAAATCGATCTTATAAGCCCATCAGACCGAAAAGAGAAGTGAACCGCTGGTTCCGATGTTCGTGGTTGTTCCTGTCAATAAATGTCTTGCAGCCTATAAGGCTATTCTTAATTAAAAAGGGATACTTACCTGACTCAGCTAATTCATATTGTTCTTGTCTGCCTTGGGCGACTTACGTGCAGTAGTCCTTTGCTGCCTTGGGTACTCGCTTCCTGCATGGTGATTGGTCCCTGTTCCTGGTCCTTCCTCTTTGGCCGCTGTTCCTGCTTCCGCTGGATTTCGTTTTTGGCTGGCTCCATTGAACTTGTTGCTGATTCGTCTTGGCTAGTGTCTAATCTCTTGGGTGCTTGGTCTTGGACTTTGTTACCCCGGACTTCTGCTTAATGGCTGGTTAGTGAAGAAGACATTTGAGACATATCACCCACAAAAAATACTCAACGTCAAACTTTTTCTACTTGTTTCCAGCGTGATATACATGCTTGTGTGACATTATCAATTACACTTAGTTTCATGCCAAGAATTCGCATTGAATAATGTAAATAAATATTATTAGTAAATACAGAGTTGTTATAATTAAAGTTTTCTTATTCAGAGCACACTGTACATGTAAACAATAATTGGTTTGACACCAAAATTTGTACATGGACTATGCGTGCTAGGAAGCAAAAAAGAGTTAAATTAGAAAGTTCTGTTAGGTGAAACTTTACAAGAAAGTATACGAAACAAAACACTGTATAAAATGAAAACTGAAGATCAACTTTAAAGTAACATTTCAGTCTGTTATTTTAAGACAATTACGAATAGAGTCAATTATTAATTGTCTGTTCATCACCTTCAAATTTTACATCTGAACAATGAGGCACACATTGATCAACTTTCCTTAGTTCAGTAAACAGCGGAAGGTATGTCCCTTGCTCCACGAATAAAAGCGTTTTCGTGCTGTAGTTGTTTATTTTTTTATGTATTTATTCTGTAAAGCGAATGTTTTTCAATTAATTTTTGCATAGTCTGTGCAAAAATTTTGATGCCATCTGCTTACTGGTTACAGATTCAGTGCTGTGAATAAGGAAACTAATTATGGCCACCCTGTATACACCAATATAGCTATAATTCATTTACTAGATACAATGGTAATTAAAATAAATTTTATACTCACATTTTTTCAAAAATTGAACAATGTGATAAAAATTGAAACTTTCTTTATCTGTGTCAACGTCTTTCCAATGCAGAAGCTGTCCAGATTTCAATTTTATCACTAGCTTACTCTCAGGAGTACATGCAATATTTCCATCCTTTTCAAGAGTATCATTAAATAAAGATACAATTGACGATGAGCTGGAGTACCTATCAGATTTCTGCCCATTATCTTTCTCAATTTCTTCAACAGTACCTGTTACTGAAGAAGATGACAATTCTAATGATTTCTCACGTTTATTCCCTTGTGATTTCATAGAAGAGATATAAAGATTGATATCTTGTTTACCTTGTTCTTTGGTACATTTACCATTAATAATTTGTAATAATTCATCCGAGTCTATGCCAAAACTGACATCACAAATTTTTTTTGTTNCAGTACGAGTTGACAGAGACCTTCCTCCATAAAACCCGAAAACGTCACCTCCTATCCTCCCCGCTACGGGCATTCCAACCAAAATTCCAGCTTTTATTTTTCCTGCTAGAGGCGCCCTAATATTCACAATAACTCTTAACAATACAATTTTGAGAATTGTTGAAACGAGTTGATTATTACAAGCGATTCTTGTCGGATGCAAGTTTTTCGAGTGCGAATTAATTTTGAGATAATGAGTGGTGTAAGTAAGTTAAATTATCTTATTTCGTGTTTTATTTCATCAGTTGTTTTATGGCAAGTGCTTAATTGAAATCAAAACAATGCTTCAATACTGATTTTTGTGGCATAATTTAAGACTGCCGTTCGTGACGCTTATTTGTGAAAATTACTCTACTAAATGAATCTCCGATGACCTTCAATCGATAATGATACGTTAATTTTAATTGTCATAATTAGTTTTACTTTTCCGCTGTTATATATAACAGAGGGAAGTTCGATGATCGATAGAAAACGACTTTTTCCAACATTTTTACAATTATAGAATCGGAGGGATCGTGAAACGTCGAAAACTACTAAAAAGAAAAAAGTTTGGGTGCTTTTCTGTATGCCTGTAAGATAGAGTGTGCGTGTAGTGTACGATTTGATTCACTCAGTTTGCAGGTTAATAGTTAATAACTCTTGTGCCTTTCTTCGAAAATTGCTAAGTTTTCAGAGGTTTGTGTACAGTATTAAAGGCATTGAAGCTGTTATATTTTAATGAATAAAAGTCCACGGGGTGAAAGATAGAGGGGTTCGTGTTTCGTATGTCCTGAGCGGTTGGACCTAATGAAGATTTTACTACTCTCAAAATTAAGCTTTTGCCATTTCGTAATANATGACATTTTTAAATCTGTCATGGAGTCATATAAATATACCAATACCTTTAATAAGTATGAAAGGCTTTTCGTTTAGACCTGAATTATTATAATCATATCAACGAGTTCCAAATCGCTTACACATGACCGGTACAAAAATTAGTTGTATATAATGCATTGTCTCTGTTGAAAACTTATAAATTTCTGAAATAATTTTCTGGTATAAATTTTATAATATTTTCCAATAAAAATTTGTAATATTTGCTTTAAATAAGTAAACAAAATTTTCGCTAGTGCTGTGGCACTGCAATCTTTGGCTATATCTTAGGCTACTCCGGTATTTTTTTTGTTGGTGTGTGTGTTTTAGCTGGCAGCACTGGCATATTTGTGTGGTGTTTTTCTGAGGACTGTGTGTTGTGCTGAATCGAACGTTTTTGATACTAGATCAACTTCTAAAGTATATTTGTTTTGGTTTTTATATTTTTCAATATATTAATTTTGTTTGTAAAAAATATAAAAATAATTTTTAACGATACAATAGCCACGATTATTATTTTAAAAAGTTTATGTTAGGCTTAACATCGATGAAAATTCAACGCGAAGCGACATGCAACAGAGAAAAATTTCAACGTGGGATAGGTTAATATATTTTTTCGTGCATAATCGGTTATCCGAACAACCTCAGTCCCCAATTGATTTGGATAAACGATGCTCTACTGTATAACTAAATTAATATTTATTAAATAATTTAGAATATTCTGGAAGAAAAGAATCAGCCTGGAGCGGGACTCAAATCTGCAACTCTTGCTTACTATGCAAATGCTTTGCCAGTTATGCTAACTGAGCCTCAGTCCAATCTCCTCTTCCAGACATATTTAAATATGATATAACCATCCTTGGGTATGAATATGATATAACCATTCCAGTCTCCCTCTAGTAACAAATTATTTAGTAATTAATTAAATATAATTGTAAGAAAGTAGCCCAATGTAATCTAGTAGTTGTTTGGCTTTACAAAGTTATTAGGTTTAGTGATGTTTGTTAGAATAAATGAAATACGTGATATTTTTAATTAATATAAATGTAAATGGTATTGAAAACATGCAAGAAAGATAACAAATTTCATGAACTCCCTAAATATGAAATTATAACCAGGCAATTTGCCAAATTATCAAGCTATGATTAGGCCCAATAATAAGACTGTCTTGGTTTAATCAAAAATCAAGTTTGTTGAGTGAAATTATACATTAATATTACATGGTTTTAATTAATTTTTATAGTTTTTTTTTTATTAAAAAGCTTATACCATGTTAATAAAATTTTAAATTTTGACTTTGATTAAAAAAACAGAACAAATAAATACCTCAGGTAAGCAAAATTCTGGTGAACTATCAATAAATACTCTTCCGGCACATTCTCTTAATTCCTTCATAAAAATTTTCAATTAAAGAAAATATTTGAATTTATTAAAAAGTAAAATAGAAATAATATTACTTACTCCTTCTAACTGAGCATCATTAGAATTGCGAGGTATCCAAGTTGAAAGATTAGCTAATCTAGAACTGAAATTCAGTTACATATTAACAATTATAAATTTATTTTTAAAATTTTCTTTTACTTTACACAGTTTATCCTAAAAGTTTTCTAAAATGGTTAAAAAACATATTTACTTACAAGCAATTAAATTTTTTATTGTCTATTATTTAAAATGCATTCTGTTCACAACAACATATTAATTATAATGAACATTTTCCAAGGCATTATCAAAAGTGTTTTAAGTAGAGATGAGCAAATACTATCCATGAATATTTTCTAGTATTCAAATATTACACATCTTTGAATATCCCACTGATTAAAAAAAATTTGAATACTATGAATACTTTAAATATTGTGCTGCATGTACAGACAGCACTTCTTCAGCCAGCATTACCAGATAGATAGAATCAATTATCCTTAAAGTATCTGCAAAATTTCCCCGAATTATGGAATTTTATCAAAAAATTTCCCACAATATCATCAATATTACAGATACAATTTTTTCAATTGATTCAAGTTATGAATATTTTTGAAAAGTTATTTATTGAATTTTCACATAATGATTTGTTCTATTTCATAATTTGAAAATATGTAAGACACCTAATATTGTATAAACTAGTTGGAAGAAAGAAAAAACATACATAAAACTGTATTTTCAATTTATATTATTTCATTTTAAAAACATAATACAATTGTCCACGTTTTTTCTTTTCACTTCATGTACTGTACATATTATCATGATAATAAACCAAATACTCTATCTATTTATGTGTTCACATGCTTTAAATATACTGCAAGAATATAAAAATTCTTAAATTTCACCTGCTTTAGTATATCTTTACAGTTTGAATTATAAATGCAGACATTTTCAAATATTTTTAGTTGATAATAATATATTAAGATAAGAATCTCGACTGTTTATAATGAATGTATTTATTTAATTAGTATAGAAGTACAAGAGAAGTATGAGGAGCATCCAGAAAATAAAAAACGTTTGTCTATGAAAAAATTTTAAAAAATCTAGCAATGAGAGTTGCGTAACTTTCCCAGCTATTATGAGATTTTTATTTTAAAAAATCTTTTTTATTATTAAGAAAATAAAATAAAATTGTGTGTGACACCATCTGTTATCAGATTTTGTTGTAAAAACATTTTATATTTTTAATTACTATACAATGGTAAAAAGCTTAATTTTGAGAGTAGGGATAAGTTTTATAAAAAAAAAAAAAAGTGTAAATGCTAATAAGTATTCTTGTATTCTTTGCATAATCATTCTGTTCTGCATTCAACAGTTTTAAATGTGATAATATCCATTTGAAAATGAATGAAGACATTTGTTTTAATAAACTTGTATAGTTTATTTGCTGGTTTCTGATATTGGTGTGTGTTATTTAAACAGAACCAGTTTTTGAGATAAATTGTTTATTATTTATATAATTGTATTAATTATTTTGTTATAAATTAATCATTAAATTATTACTAAAATTTTATTTAACTATACTTATTTTTAAAAATCAATTTAAATATATATATCTTACCTTGGAATAAGAGGGAGTGGCAAAAAGTGAAGAACTGACATTGCATCAAGACCACAATCTAACATAATGGTGGTGTTTTTGAATTTTAAAACATTGCATGATTTGTTTGGATGCCCACTTAAACAATACTATATTAAAAAATAAAATTTAATTATAAATATTTTTGATAATTTTTATAAGAGTAAATATTAATTTGTAATAAAAGCATTTTTACTTTGTTCTTTTTATTCATCATACATTCTGGCAAAGGTAAAATTCAATATAACAAAATCCTTTACATTATCTAACTATATACATATAGAGTGACTCCTGATAATCTAAACTGATTATTACAAAGGCTTGTTCAGATTAGTAAAAAGCTTAAATTACAGGGTTATTATATAAAGCAAAGAAAGTTAAGAAAAAAGACTACAGATAAATACATATATTTTAATTATAAATAAAAATTTTTATGCTAAATGTAGGTTGATAAATACATTTATGTTAAAATGCACAGTTTAGTACAATCCTAGTAAGCTAACCATTCACCAGTTCAACACATCTAGTAATCCAACACTAGTCAGCTATATGATATTACTGGCACAGTTGCCAAGTCAGATAAGCTTCTCATTAGTTCAAATGGCAGTTTCCACTAAATTTGAACACCTATGTGTATAATGTATATAATATGTACTAGGGGGTTTCCAACTTTTTTCACATATCAACCCTTTTAAGAAAATTTTTTTCCATCAACCTACTTAAATATATATTTTATTTTTGAATATATTGTTTTTATATTTAGAAAGTTTTGAAAATGATAGNGCTTACGTCATCGCTATTTATTTAGAAAATTTGTTGAATTGGAAAAGTATTCATTAGTGAAAAACGTTATATACGAAGGATATGAACCTGTAAACGATGCATCTCAAACTGATAACATTAAATCAGAGTCTAATCATCGATATTTATTTAGAAAATTTGTTGAATTGGAAAAGTATTCATTAGTGAAACAGGTTATATACGAAGAATACGAACCTGTAAACGATGCATCTCAAACTGATAACATTGAATCAGAGTCTAATTCAAGCAATTGTGAAGAATTTGATGCAGAAATCGATAATAATGATCAATATGGTAAGATATGTTATTACTCTTATTTTTATAACACAATGTCTTTCAATTTCTTTTACCATTAAACAGTTATAAAAGTTTTAAATTCGACTGTGTAATAATTTTAACACTAAATCAAATAATTAATGTTTCTTCCATTGCATTGTTAATGAAACTAAAGTGGAACAATATTTTACAATTTATTTTACTTAAGCAGAAGTTTCTTTGTTGAATAAAAAATATTTTAAATTTTGTTGTATCTGTTTAATTAAAATTCCAATTTTTATCACTTTTTGCACTTTCTCATTCTTGAATTGCTTATTAGTATTTGAAATCATTTATATCTTGTGTTGACTTTGGACGGATAATGTAACTGCATGTTTGAGAAGCGTGATGGTTTTTGGATAATTTATAGTTAATAGCTGCATTATAACTTTTACANACAGGTCTACAGTAGGCTGAAGTTCAATCTTATTTAAGAAAGATACTGTATAATCAAGAAGACTCAAGCAGCTAAAGGAGTAACAAAAATCACATCTGAGAAATAAAGAATATCGAACAGTTCATAATGTAACACGAAATGGATCTGACGACAGAAGAACGCCAAGAACTCTTGAATGAAGAACACCAAGAAACTCGGCGAGATATGTTTTCTTCTGAAAAGAGGATTAATGCCGATATCTTATATTAAAGATCGTTTGAAGAAGTGGGAGGATGTCAGAACAACGGTCTTAGAATGGCATCCAAACCAGGTTAAGGCTTGGGGATTTCTGCAATTGCAATACTATTAATTACTTACGAAAAATCCCGAAGAAGAGAGAAAAGCAATCGACATTAGACAGATTCTTTAACCCTTTCAAACAGAAAAAAAACACGACTAATAAAAACGCAAGACTATGTATGTATGTATTTTTATTATCATCAATACATATAAATAAAGGTAGTAAGAAAGTATATATTTTTTTATTTTGGGGGGTCTCCAGAACCAATTAATCAAATTCCCATAGAAACCTATGGTAAATCGATAATCGGTTAACGAACAATTCGGATAGCGAACAAAGTCTTGGAACGGATTATGTTCGTTAACCGATCACCCACTGTAATTGATTGGGGGCGCTGCACGACATCGTCGGTGTTGGTGACTTTTTTGTTCGACCTTGAGCTACTGTAGAGAGGCGATTTGTTGATTTTAATTGTAAATTAACGTCTTTGGTTTGTTAATGTTCTTTCCGTCGTTGCATTTGGTGCTAATATTGTTGATTATGGCTGGAATAGAAAGCAACCCTGGTTTGTTGCAACACTCTCCTCCCGGATCAAGCCAAACAGCAATGCAAAAGAAGAGGCGTGGACGTCCTAAAAAGGTACTTGTACCTTGCTCTGATAATACAAGTTATTTAACGGAAATAATTAACGAAAACGACGGTATAGATGAAGAAATAAGAGAAAATAGAGAGACAACAAGAAAATCTAAGATCGTCGATTATTTTGATTTATCAGATCAGTGTGCTCAAATTGGCGATAGTGAACCAGAATATACGCTAAAATCAATTTACGAGCTAATACAGAGTAAATTTGATTCACTAAATCAAGAAATTAGTGCTATTAAACAGAAAATGAGCCGCATACAGTTAGATAATATCAAAATCAAAGAAGATATGAAAGCCATCGACCAGAAGATTCTTACAGGTGAAATGAAAATGAAGGAAATTTTGCATTTAAAAGGTACGTTTGAGTTCCAATTGAATAATATTCTTAATGGAAATAACAATAAGAATCTAATAGTAATCAATTTTCCGTTTAAATCGAATGATAAGTTAAAGGAGTTCATTCAATTTATTGAGTTAGAGCTAAAATTAGTAAACATAAAAATTGATGATTTAATTTCATTGGGAAAAAGTAATTCTGATAGCCATATTGTGAAAGTAGTTTTAGTATCAGTTAAAGATAGAAATCTTATTCTTAAAGAATTTTGGCGAAATAAATCCAAATTTGCAAACGAGACTACTAAAATTATCATGAAGTCAGATCTAGCCATAGATCTAGAATAAGAAGAAAAAAATCTCATTAATAAAATTAAAACAGAATTTTCTGCTGATACCAAAGTAACGGTGAAAGATGATTACTTTATAAAAAACCACCTCAAACATTCTTTGGATATGAATACAAATGAAATTATTCCAATAGATCATTTTTTATACCAGGCAGATCAGACACTATGAATGGCATAATTGCTTCGAGTAATAAACAGCATAATATTAATGATAATCATTGGTTAACTCTCAACAAAGATAATCATGGAGTCAATAGTAATAGTTACAATGAGAATACAAAATTAGTAGTTAATGAAAATTACAACAAAACTTTAATTACCTTTTGGAACTGTCAAGGTTTGAAAGCTAAGTTGCATGCTTTGATGGTAAATAGATTTATAAAGTTAAATGTGATAGTCGGATTCACTGAGACTTGGTTGATAGAACTAAGTTCAATGGAAAAAAAGTACTTTGAAGCTGATAATCATATAGTATTTATTGAAGCTCTTAGAGTGAGTAAATATGGCCATCCTTCTGGTGGAATTTTACTTCTGGTGAAGAAGACGTTTGGGCATATCACTTACCAATATAGTTCGTTGAACTACATAGTTGCAATTATTAAATTAAATCAAAAGCTCAAGTCTCAGATTGATAAGCATCACTTAAGAATTATAGTTACGTATCTTGCTCCTTCTAGTAATAAAAAGTCTATCCTCACCGCAATTCAACATCATATAGATAAATGGGCTTTTTAAACTCAAAGTTGGATCATTGGTGGAGATTTTAACTCTCGTATTGGTGAAAATATGGATACCAAATTTTACCGAAAGTATTAAGAATATCAGTAATACAAGAAAATCTAAAGATGAAAAGCTCAATTGTGAAGGTAAAACACTGCTGGACTTTGTGCAAGAAAATCAACTTATTATATTGAACGGCAGATTAAATGGTGACGTCCCGGCTGAATTTACTTATTTATGCAATAGCAATAAGTCAATAATTGATTATATGATATGTTCTGAGGTTTTGGGAGATCAGGGTATGGCCTTAACAGTTTTAGATGAAGACTTATCTGATCATTTCCCTTTGCAGCTTGAAATACAAAATGATGAATCTATGTTAAAATGTAGAGGAGGGACTCAACTACTAAAAAAAATAAAAAGAATATAATCTAAAGTTTAATACTCAGCTATGGCGTAATTCCTCCGAATCCATAACATCTTCTAATGATCTTCTAATGCAGGAAAAAAATAATGATCCAATTGCAAACTATCGGAGGTTATTATCTAAACTATCTGAATGCCAGGTCAAGTATCGTCATACGACCAGAAATGTTAAATATAAAAATTCTTGGTTTGATGACTGTTGTTATCGACATAAGATTATTAAACAACGTTTCTTAAAAACGTTTAGGAAAACTAATTTATCTGAGGATCTATATAAGTAGTAAGAAAACTTACATGAACTTATTAAGAGCAAAAAAGAAACGTCATATGTTTAATTTAAATAAAACATTAATGGAAGCAAGAAATTCGAGCACATTTTGGAAAATTATTAATGACTATCGACATAAGAGTCAACGGTTTACTAAGCAAAGAACTATTAGTGACGAGGATTGGTTTGATTATTTCCAGAAATTTTTGGATAAATATTTATATAATCAGGCAAATATTTACATTAAAGATTTGACAGTTCTTCACATAAATCAAAATGAAACTTTTGATGTTCAGGAAATTCAAGAATGTATCAATAAATTAAAAAGCAAATCGGTTCCTGGATCCGATGGCATTCATAATTCTATAATTAAACTTTTGCCTTTCCAATTAATACAGTATTTGACCAGAATCTTTAATAATATTTACTCTAGTGGAGAAATTCCATCAAGCTGGAAGGAGGTGATTTTATTTATGATACACAAACATGGTAACAAAGATGATCCTGCAAATTATCGACCAATTGCGTTATTATCAAACTTCAGAAAGATTTTCACAGCCATTTTAGCCAAAAGATTAA